CAGGGACTCAGTGACATAGGCCTGTGACAACTACCATTACAATTACTTAGTAATCCATTAACTCAAATACATGTACATTTACATCACATACGACTTATCATTGCATTAGTGCATATTAATCTTAACACAGCCTTTATATGATAATGTCTATGGAACAAACTGTTTCTTGATTATGAGTATAGTTAACAGCACTAAAAGAGAGAGTGAAAGAGTGTGTAAATTTAAGTGACGTTGATGTTCAAACATTGTACTTTTTCAAATGGGACATGCTTTGAATTCTCTTAGCATTTTGTCATAATTCTATTCTCCTGTACAATAAATGACACATCAATTATTACTGACCAAAGGACACTCACTATCCCTCATTTACTGTACATGTGTACATGCACTGAATAAAACATGCACTGTAATGTAAATTGTGTCTTACCATCATGTTGTTAGGATTGTTCTGTTCCCACATCTTTTGCCAAAAATAAAAAGCAGGTGGATTTCATGGGATCTTGAATCTTGACAAGCAATGCATCTGTGACCCAAAACTGTTACAATACTATAATAAAAAATAGTAAAAAACATGACATTGACGTACATAACGTAAAATACAGTTCCTTACTGATACTATAAGCTTGTGTTAACACAAAAAGACAAAGAACATGAGAGACAGGAGAATCCTTTATAGGACAAAAAGAGAAAGAGCAAAAGTTAGATGTACATGTACATGTACTAGGTGGAGAGAAAGGCAAAAGAAAGCAAGAAATATCAATATGAGACAAAGATATACAAGAATAGTAGTCCAGGAATACAACAACAAGAATAGAGAATTGCATTATTAATAATTACATCAGTATTTAGTAGCTATCATGATAGTCATTAGTATTATTGCAGCTAACAGAATATAATCATTTCTTAGTATACATGTGAATGGTACATGTAATTATGTATCATAACCCTTAGTACAACTTGCGATGTAAATGGTACCTCTACCAAACCAGACTAAATTACATGTACTGTGTTGGATTTCTAGGCTAGGAACCATTACAAAGGATCATTATCATTGTAACAGCCTAACTTGATGAACAGAATTATTAGTTATTATTGTGATATCAAAATGAGATATCATGCTGGTAAAACAACATTTAATATTCTTCACCTTTAAGTACTTATTAATAACACAAGTACATGTCAAGATTGCATATTACTCATCTATAGTATACTATTACAAGATGCATAAACAGCTA